GGATCGATGACTTATATCTGGAGATTTGTTATTCCCCATTCAACTTCTCTTTACCTAATTTTATCCCTAAAACTTTCTTCCAATTTGTCTCAAACAAAAAAAAACCACTTATTAAAGTTCATCCATCCCTCTTACTTCTTTCTAGGTGGCTTTTCTGTTTCATATCCAATGACTTATATCTGTAGATTTGTTATTCTCCATTCAACTTCTTTATTTTACCCATTGCCAGGGGGCTTATAGGTCCTACTAAGGAACCTGTCTGGCGAACAAAAAGTCGAGCAATTACAAGGGGACTCATGGATACAAATAAGTTCTGCCTTGCTCAGATGGCTTCATTCAAATGATCACTACGATATACTACTCAATGAACAATTTGAAAAAATATACAGCCAACAACACTTTGTTAGAGACAATACCACAATGATCCGTTCCAGAAATAAAATGTCAACCACCAAACAGAGTTCTTGTTGATAGCACAAACATACTGCTTCTGCACTAAGAATCTCATTCTGTCACGTTTAGACATAATATATGCAGGATATTTAGATGTTTCTTAATAACATATCTATAAGCCATAGTGCTACATTTCGCCTGGACCATTACAATGACCTGTCGGGTTGGCAGCATTAAGCATAGACATGCCTCACAATACCATATATACTTAGATTTTAAAAGAAGTTCCAGGACACGTTCCAGCATGCCATGTGTTGAAACGCCAACACTTGTGAGATCCATACCAGTCTAGCCAAAAACCAGCATGGTCCGCATAGCTGAAAGCCTAAAACGTCGAACCATGCTATAAACGGATATACGAATATCTACATACAACAAACAAGTCAAGATTCAGAAGAAAAGGTCCAGCATCAACAGCTTGTCTCAAGCAAGTATCCACTCTCATCTTTCCAAAACAACTACCCAATGTATGCAGAAATGGAGGTTAACAGAGGAAAAAAAACAAAACAACAGCAAGCAAAGATCTATGTCTATTGCTAAATGATTGCTATAACCATGATTCACCCATGTTATCCAGTCAATAAGAGAGCTATACTACAGTAGTTTCACCAAATATAAGAAATTTATTTCATAATTAATATCATTTTGTTATGTGAAATTATTATACTTTGCAATGTTCAGACCAAATCTTCAGCTGTTTCTAGTGTCTTCAGAAATATTTCAACAAACAGACAAGCTTCTCCACTAAAGATCAGAATTTATAATTAACATAGTAGAGTCAAAGTTGTACTAACATGGGTTTATAAGATTGGCATTACAAGTATTTTTGTTCCTTGATACCAAAGAATGAAGGAATTTTATTTGTTCATACTCCAACTCCGACTACATCAACAGAAATGAAAGGATCATAACAAATTTCACAACTGAGTACATTTTCCTCTTTTTTCCCCTGCTAACTATCCCAGAACAAGAAAGCTTTTTGAGATTATAATTAGTGGTGATCCTCAAGTGCAGAATTTTGTCAATTTGATTAATTGGCCCAAAAGAATCAGTAAGTTATCCAAATTTCTTCTGAAATATCACATCCTAGTTTCTTTCACTCCTTCCAACAATGGCCTCAAGTATATGCATCTCAATTACAAAAATTTACATATAGACAAAAACAGGATGAGCCACATGTTAATATACAATTAATAAAACCTGGGGATGATAATGATTAGATGTTGCAACAGAATGCCACAAGTTACATCCTGCTAAAATCAACTCAAAGTAAATCTTCACGAACAGTATGAAAAGCAAACCTGTTGATTAATTGGAGCACCACCATAGGCAACGACAACCCTGACACCAGTCTGGTAAGCAAACTTCCTAGCCTCTTCATGTATCTAAGTTACCAAAACAGAATCCAACAAAATAAAAGGTGAGGCAGATGAACAAGGAAAATAATACTCATAGAAAACAGTATTCCCTGTAAAATTACTGAAGAAAAACCAAATTATACAGCATACCTGAACAGAAAGCTCGCGGGTAGGTGATAAAATCAGTGCGAGTGGGTAAGAAGTCCTTGAGCCTCTTTGCCTTGGTCCAGGTGGTCCACTCATGATACCACTTATAATCGGAAAGCAGAAAGCTGCTGTCTTTCCCGACCCTGTCTGAGCACAGGCCATCAGGTCCCGCCCAGCAAGTGAAATTGGGATCGCATGTCGCTGGACCGGGGTTGGCTTCACATACTTGCACCGTCTAATGTTCTCATTCAGTGCATCGCCCAAATCAATCTCTGCAAATGTGTTCACCGGTGGAGGCACATTCTCGCCGCTCGTCTCAACAGGTATGTCCTCGTAGGCATCAAAGTTGATCCCAGAATTTTCTTGGCTACTGAACGTAGCTTCTGTGGTCTCATCATCGTTCGCAAAAGGATTCACCTCACGGTCCCTCCGGGAGTGCCAACCGCCCTGTCCACCTCTCCCACCACCAGAGATGGGGCGACCCACGTCACGGATGGGGCCACTGCCCCAGCGGCTTGCACCAGCTGGCGCGGCACCAGCAGGCGGCTGTCTAGCACCCGACGGACCATCGGCGAGGGTCGGCGCCAGAGGCTCAGAAGACGGCTGGCGGTTCCGTAGATGAGGAGGAACGTAGGCGGGGCGACCACCGCGGGAGGGGGCCGCCGCGACAGACGAAACGTTACTAGGAGAGGCACTGGTCGCGGCCGCCGAGATCTCGGCGTTCGCGACTGCATCAGCCCATGAAGATCGCATAACTCGGGAAGCAAATCCGAACCCTTTCCAACCCAAACCTTCAAGAAAGGAACAGATGGACGCAGCAATCGACCCGCGCGCTCAAGATTACACCCTTGCGCCACAAAACAAGCCGCAAGATCAAATCACTTCCTCGGGAAAGAACACCAAATCGAAACCAGAAAACGAATCAGGAAAAAGAATCAAGAAAAGAAGGAAGGCCAAGCATTGATCGGAGAGAGGGAAGGAATCAGAAGAGAGAGCTTAACAGCGAAGGGTACCTGATGAGAACCAGTTGAAACCCTAGGACGGATGGAGTCGTCGTCGGAAAGAGAGGAAGAATCGAAATAGATGGAGGAAAGAACCGGAAACCCTAGAAAGAGAGAAATATCTCCGATTGCCCCCCTTTTTGTTCCTTTAAATATATTAATTAAGCATTTATAGATAACTAAACATGTATTTAGAATGATTTCTTGGAAATTTATTTTAATATAGCTATACAAAGTTTATTTTTGACAAGGACAAAATTCATTACTACAAATCCGCATGGGACCCGCCCCTAACGGGACAATAAATGGGATTTCCATCTATCAATATATGGGTATATATATGGGTCAATTGAACCTTTAGACTGGGTTGAATCTTGATTAAATTAATTATAAATTACTTGATTTTAATTAAATTAAATAAAATAATATCTCAAAGAAATAGATTCAACATTCAATTATTATTATTATTATTATTTATTTAAATATTATTAATTAGTTTTGATAATATTTTTATTTTTAAAAAAAATATTCGATCAAATCTCAATAGCTATATTTGTATCAAAACCAAAAGCATTGGAATAATTCATTCAGAAAAGCTCTCACTTGCATCACGTTTTCTTCTTAAAATGAAGAAATATTTTCTTCTTGATTTTTAAAATTTATTGTACTATCGATATTAAATTAAATCAAATCAAATTTGAATTGGCTTAAACCAATTCAAATGAATCGGTTCAGAAAGTTTTGATTAGAATACAATTACTCCAATCTCCTGCAAAACAAATGTCTTATGTCATGCACCAGAAAGTGGCGTGGGATGAGGAGGACGCAGCTTTCACCAGGGAAGAAGAAGTCATGGCAGAAGAAGCAGGGAAAGCATGCAGAATCAACGGCCAAAAGCTCAGAGATCACAAGGAAATAGGAACCCTATTCTAATCTGCTACCTTCTGTTAATTACGCAGTCTTGTATTAACCATGATTAAGACATACTTTACCAGGAAAAATATGTTAAGGCACCCTTCAAGAATTGTGCTCAATAAAGAATAGCAATATCATTGATTAGCATGGACTACAAAGGCATGGCCTCAAAATGAAACCACATTCAAATCAAAGGCATGACTTCTTGCTGCGAGTCAACCAATTTGATTGAACTGCTGTGACAAGATTATTTCAGTACACATTTTGTTTGGAACACTGATTTAAAAGCAATGCTGTAGACACCCAAAAAAAATGACACCCTAATCAACATTAAATGTGGGAATGATCAAGAGGAAATGATGCCTATATAAAGCAACCAGGTAAACAAGATTAAGAGAGATGAAGAAGACGTTTAACATGACAACTAATATTGGCAATGTCTACTTTCAGAATGGCTCTATGAAGGACCTCAATCTACAGCAAGTAGATGAGTTGGGACACTGTTGCTCTGCCATGTGGGCTGTATGAGTTAATAGCACCAGAAAGGTTTCCTATAACTGTTAGGAATACAGATTGCTGCAGACATACTGATCAAGTCAAATGGGTAGAGAGAGAGAGAATTTACTTGGATCATATAGCCTAAGAGTTGAACAAAAAGGAACATATTTTGCATAATTGCCTATGAGAAAGTACAATGATACATATAACTGATGACCCGTGAGGGATACATGATGAAAAGAGCAGTGGAAACAATATCTACCTCCTTCGAGAAACTGATCTGGTGAACCCTTCTCGAACAACCGACTCTTTTGTTTAATACAACACAAACAAATCAGGCCAAAGGACCTGCAAAGCCATAGAAGAGAGCAGTCAAGTACAAGGAAGGGGTACTGCATGATCCCAAGTAATATAACTTATTAAACAAACAGCATCAACCGCATTCTCCAAAAAATAAAGTTCCAATAAGTGGGCAAATTAAGCATCAATATCGCCAAAGAAGGTACATCATTGGAGCGATGGGCAATAATAACCAAATGCAAGATTCCAAAACCTCTGAAGCCATAACAAGAATGAACATTCACTCACGATAAACAAGAGTCAGGGAACAACTCCATAGCATGCCTTGGGGCAAATCATTGATGGAAGGATAGTGGAGTTAATAGCAAAAATTCATATCAGGCAACTGACAGGATAACCACAGAGAAGGAAAAAAAAGATATAGACAAAAGATAACCATATACCGGTACACTGAAAACAAACCATGGTGAGAAACAATCACACTGAATTAGCAGAAACAAAGGTATAAATTTCATCTATGAAAAAATTCATATCAGGCAACTGACAGGATAACCACAGAGAAGGAAAAAAAGATATAGACAAAAGATAACCATATACCGGTACACTGAAAACAAACCATGGTGAGAAACAATCACACTGAATTAACAGAAACAAAGATATAAATTTCATCTATGAATACACATTCACAGAAGTTCTATGCTATGAGATTCTGATGGAATTCTATATTTCACAATCTTGATCACAACATGACATCATGATTAACAACATCTTTTTATGATAATTTTTACCATAGTTCCAAAACCTAATACCATGTTATATCATATACCATACATTTGCCACATGCTAAATAACTAGTCATCTCTTAACAAGGCATGGAAGACCATGTCATACTTTGATGAGTCATGACAACGTTGTTTCCCCTTGCATTTAATACCTCAAATTGTAATTGCAAATGCAACTTACAGATGCAATCAGAATGAAAACCGGGAAAATCTAATTAGGTTGAGATCAATCCATATCTGATCTAACCCTCAAGCAAGATCTGATCAGATCCAAAATTTTAATGGATTGGTCTACAGTTCTTTCAAATCCAACATACATATTTGGATCTCCAACTCAATCTAGAGAGGAAGAAAACTGGAGACAGTAAGTTGTCAAATTCAATGGCAGCATTGGCTACAAGCAGCAGAGAGAAAGGGAGGGGAGTAGAGCAGCCAAAGTGATGGGAAGAGAATTGTATATGACACTGATGGCAGCAAAAAGAGGGCAAGAATGAAAAAGAGGGAGATGTACATACAGTTATTGGTAGAACAATTAGTTATTGGAACATCCCAGTATACATTCATTCCATCTAATATCTGGTACACACAGGATTTGCTACAGTACATAAGCTAAACATTTTAATGGGTTATAATTGTAAATAACAAAAAGGCTACCAAAAAATAAAATATTTTCTACTTACTACTTGTTTCAGCGTCTAATTCTAGGCTTGCACCGAAATTCTGCTAGAAGTGCTATATGATCAGATGACCATTCAGGAGAAGGGATTGCAGTGTTCTTGCGCAGGTTCTCCTCGTCTAAGAGCTCCAACAGAGATTCTACCGAAAGTGAGTCCGCTAAAGAAAAAAGCAAGATATCTTTAAGACAATTTGCATAAGATATTCTGAAAAACCTTTAAACACCAAAAAAGAAATCAAGAAAAGCATTTACAGTATACATTCAATTTACTAGAAAAGCATGTACACCTGTGTAAAATATGTAATCAACAGTGCCAATAAAATCCCTGGTGCAATTTGTAAACAAAGGTTCATGTGTTGAGGCATCCATTCTCCTCCTCTGCTGCTCTAGTCCAGGACTGACTCCAACCATTCTTGCAAATGATGAGTATGCACTGACCTGTGTGCATGTGCATATATGTTAACACCAAGAAAAGCTTAATTGTAAACACAAAGAGAAGTAAATAAAAAATTACCAATGGAAGCTGGTGAGTTATCTTGCTTGTAGGGCGCAGAATCCCCAAGGGATCTACAGCCAAATCTAGATGCAGTGGTTCAACTTTGCCATTTGCAAGAAGCGCATGAGGGGCACTACATTCATAACACTCATTTATATACTATGATTTCCTCTGTTTATGTAAATAGTGAAACTGACTAGAAAAAAGTGTAGACCTTCCTGGTACAGCGTTAAAATCTCCACAAACCAGCATCGGAATATCTGCACTAACAGCAATTTTCTCCAATCCTTTTAAAAGAGTATGAACCTGAGAGTATCAAATCGGCAAGAACATAATAATGATTTGAAAGAAAAACAAATGTAGCAATACTTACACAAAATATAGAGCAGGATAGAACAAATACCTGCCAAAGCTTAACATCCTTATGTTCATGATGGACACTTACGTGCGTGTTTGCCTGCATGGATGGTTAAAAACAAATGATTAAGAAAGTTACAAAACCTTACATTAGTAGCAAGAATAACAAATTATATATGTATTTATGCAGAAAATTTTAGCCAATGACTTCAACAGAGCACACACTTTCCTAACATGTTGGAAAATAAAAGCAAGTAAAAGAAGAACAAAATATTCTATTGTTGGCTTGTTGCACAAAAGATAAAGCCTAAAGGAAACCTCCAATAGCAACCAATTAAAATGATTCATCCACCAAATCAAAATGTAACACCATGCTTCATACTGATATCTATTTTCCCAACAAACTAAATATGATCTATAACAAAATCTCATATTTGTTGTAGAATTCTCTATCATACTTTCAACTGCCAATGATCTAACTCTCCCCAATTTTATTTGTGAAGATTACTTGCAACAATAAAGAGCAGCATTTGCCTTGATCAGAAAAAACCATCCAATTGTTGAAAGAAAAATATTTTTGATGCCTCCGAGAGGATATTATCATGATCATTGTAGTTGAAACACAATTCAAATTGCACCAAATTCTTCCAAACAAAAAGTTAAGGCACATCTCAAAAATATTCTGTACAGAAATTCGAAAATTCCATAGAAAATGTCTTTCCTAGAGAAAATCTCTTTCATGATTTGTTTTAGAGGTAACAACACATACACATAGAGACACACAAACATATATGAACAATTCCTCTTCAGACTTCTAGGAAAAGGTAATATTCGAGTTTTCAGGAACTTTATCTGGACAATGAAAGAAGTTTAATAAATCCTTTACCAGCTTTGTCTTTTTCCATAAAAAAAATCCTTAGAACCAAGCTTAACCATAAAGAACTTCAATTAGAAAGATGTAAAATATGATATAAAAGAGTTCGTCTTAAAAGCTTGACCAATTTATGGTTTATATGTACCTTAAAATCTTAACATTTTAAGCACATAACAAAACATATTCATAAGCCAAATAGATAGTAACTGTTATACAGTATGTAACTTTAGAAAAAAAAAAACAATATATTAAAAAATCACCACACAAATTAGCTGCCTCTTTCCAGAATTGTCAGTGCCATGGTTACTAAATTTTGCTTCCAGAACCACAATGAGGGCAATATTATCCTACAGATAAATAAACATCAATAAGAATGAGGGACAAGTAGCAACTATTAAAAATGTTAAGAAAACTATATTTGAAGGGCCAACTACCTTTATTAAACGACTCAAAGCAACTTTCTTCTGACCAGCTGTCATTGCAACATCTGTTACAGACTGTGCAGCCTTGTTGAATTCAACCTGCAAACAGACACTAAGTCAATCCTACATTGCATTAGATAACATCAATCAGCACACAGGAAATAAATTGCAAGGTGCAGATACCTCATATTTTTTTACATGTGAAAATCTGTCCCTGCGGAAAAATGTAGCACAACCATCAACAGCATTTGAGTTGCCACCATAAACCTGAACCCCAACAATTACATTACCATGTGTAGGAGACAAAGTGATAGAACATGAAAATAATCGAGACAATTCAAAATGAAAGTAAACCTCCGAAGTTTTTTTCTTGTAAAGTGCTTGATATCCATGTTTATCAAGTTCCGGGGCAAAGAATTCTTCAAAATGGTCATTCTGGACCTGTAAAATATGTTAATTGCTAATAGTTAGTTTTCCTTACAGTAAAATCTAGTGATATTACAAAACTAAGAAACAAAATATTTCTTGTAGGATTATATATGAGGCGCATCAGAATACAGAGATTTACTCCATTGCCAACATTAACATGTTCATATACATTGCTGCGAAATGCAGGCAAGCAACAGGTACTGATATAGTTCATAGCAAAATCAATCAACAAGAAGCTCCATGAAGAAAAAGGATATAGGTACAGGGAAAAAATTTCTTTAATTACCTAGGTTCATATCTGATGTGTAAAATTGCCCATAAACAAAAAAATAATAATTCTTTGTTTTTTCTTTAATTGATTTCATATATACCTCGTTATTTAACAAATAAGATTATGTAAAATAACATTACACATATCCTATTAATAACTATCATAAGGGCATGTTGTTGGTCATATTTAGCTAAAAATTATAGGAATTCCAGGCAATAAGATTGCAAATAGACCAGAAAGATCAAAGAAAAGCTAAAATTTTCACTTAAGAGGATATTTAATATTTTTCTACAACACAAAAAATCAAATTTGGAATATGTACCTCTTGAAGACAAAGTATATCAGCATGGTAGCCAATTATTTCCCGCAACAAGTTTTGCCTGCGGTAGGGCCATGAAAGGGCCCAAGTTGGGCAGTAGCTATACGCCTCGCTTGTGGCATAGGCATCAGAGAGAATGTTGTATGAAAGAACTGAGAAAGTCCCAGAAGATGTTCGCCCATCTAGATCCAATTGCCCCAAGAGGTCACCATTCACTGGAACCATGTGACGTGGAGTCGGAGAAGGTGCTGGAATTACACGGGATGTCAAAACAGTATTTACATTTCCAACAGGTATTCTTGTCTCCACATCTACAGCTACACATTCAAACTTAAGAACATGGTTAATATCATCAGCTGTTGGTGTGTACGTCCTAGAACGAGCAACTTCAGACCAAGCTTCCCCACTTTTATCAGCAACAGTTGTAGGATATACAGAAATTGGACCATTATTAAGGCCTGGACTCTGAAGTAAATTGGGTGCAATACCACAGAGCCCTGAGTTAAAACTTCCAGATCCACTACTATTAAAACGTCCAAAGACCTCTTCCTCATCAGTTCCATTTTCACTTGCTGCTTTCTTTGCTCGTTCATGCAACGAACGATGATGCTGCCAAGCATCAGAGAAGCACCTTGGTGTACAATGGTAACTCTTGGCGATGGGCACTTTCTCCTTAAGGCAGACCAAACACTGCAGAGTTGCTTGCTCAGTCGGATGCACACTGCATACAGCAACTTTTTGGTCACCCAGATTTCGGTACCTGCAGGAACCCAAAAAGGTGTAAGGAAGACTGAAAAATATGTTCATACAAAAGCAGAGAGCGCAGACCACTAAACAATTAACTTCTCTTAACAAAAATGTTTCACGTTCTCATAAGATCAATCGAAGGTAATGTTAAGGATCAAATATGAGCTTCCTGACAACAAGCCACACGAATTCATTTGAAACAGCATGCAACATCACAACCAACAATCCTGGAATGAGAAGACCACACAAAGAAAAATTATGCCAAAAAGCTTATCAATTTTAGTGCCTCATAAGGCCCCTTTTCCTCTATAAGTACCTTAGGTAATCATCAAGTCCCTCTAATATAATTGAGCTGGATAACTCAGCAAATGAGGTGAACAACTGTCAGTTCAGGTATCTATATGGAACTATGGTATCCAACTAGAGAACACTTCATCTGGTAGGAAACCTGCCACTGAGAAAATTATGCAGCACCAACGAAGGTGCAGTGATTTTATATCTAAAAATCTATGCAAAATATCATCCTAATACATATAATTGGAAGAAAAAAAAAACCAAAATAAGGAAGAAAATATGGAAATGAAATGCCACTAATAACAAACGAGAAGACAGAAACCTGATATTTAAGTAAAATCGATCCATGGAGAAAGAAAGACGATCAGGAGACAAATCAAAGGAAGTACACGACGCGACAACTCACCACTTATATCTCATGCAGTAGCCATTGAGCGGGGCAGACTCGGGGACGTCGTCGTTTGAGATGGAGCCATCGGGCCAGCGCAAGAGAACATAGGGCGTGATCTCGCAGCCAACGACGGGTATCTCCGACGGCAGATGAACCCGCAGCACGGTCAGCATGCTTCCCCGCCCTCCAATTCCACCCTCCCAAGTCCAAGCCCTAGCCCCAAAGCCTCCTTTACCACCAACCCCGATCCCGCAAGCGCGGCGCTGATTCCAGACAGGCGGCGGCGGCGGGGACCCGCCATCACCCGGTCCTGGGTTTCGCCAGCGTTGACCACCTGAAATCCACCACCCACCAATCAGGAAGTGGCTCCAAGGCGCGCAATCGAACAAAGAGAGGGAACAAAAACACGAAAAAGGAGCTCATTTCGACGAATCTTAGAAGAAGCAGGCGCCAGGGGAATCGTTGTCCAAAAAAATCGTACCTTTAGGTCGGTCCTCGGCTGGAAATCGTTGGCAAAGGGGGGCCGAGGAGAAGCTGGACGGGAGGAGATTGGGGCGACTGGGGAGCGAGGAGTAAGAGAGAAGAGGGGATTGGAGATTAGGGTTTTAAGGGCGAGGAGGAGGACGAAGAGGGGCCTGGTTGAGTCGAGACAGTGCGCCTCTATGTGAGATGGATTGCTGTGTGTGTGCGTGAGAGAGAGAGAGAGAGAGATGGCATCGTTGATGAGTATTTAAAGATCGATGATTGCGATTTATTGTGGATATTTTGTGTCGTAATGACTTCCGTCTGTGAAGGGAAACGAAAGGGAAAAAATAAAAATAAAAAATCCTCGATATATATATTCCTCCCAAATTAATGATTTTATATCTGTCTAAACCTAAAAATCATATATAAATGCCAATAGTTATTCCTCATCAAATTGGTCATTATCAAACATCATATTTGGACAAATTTTATGAAAAAACCTTAAGTTTTGTTTCATAATTTTTATTTTTATTTTATTCATGTATAGTGTCTTTATTTTCTTAGAAAGCATATTAATGGCCCCATTGTCGTTCTTCTACTACACTCTCACCTCACACTCCAGTATGTCTTCTACGCCTTTGCCACCTGACTTGATCTCCTTCCTCTTGTTTTCTTCTTTGCACATGAATCATCTAACTTGATCTCTCATATGAGTGATATTATCTTGTTTGCCCCTATAACCTCTGTTACCGTTCTCTATAGATTTACTCAAGTCAATGGAAACTCCTTCCTCTATTCCCAATGGACATTATTAATCATTGTCTCTACTCAAGACATCGACAAAGAAACTCCTCAAATGAAAAGAAGGAACAAGACTCATTTCTTCGGAAGAATGAAATGTTAAGTGACAAGAGCATAGAGGAGAATGTCGAGAAACAAGGGTCAAGAGCTAGGACGGAGGAGAGAAGTGTAAAGTGGGAGGCATGATAAAGATAATAGGACCTCGAAATAGGACAAAGATGGTGGGCAACAATGAGTAACGAAGGTAACCAAAAAGAGGTCAATGTCTTTTAGAAAATAAAGACACCAACACATAATAGAGCAAAAAGGAATGTTGAGTGAGAAAAAAAATAAAAACTTGAGTATTTCTTAAAATATTTATCATGATATTTTGTATTTATCCTTTAAATTTAAGTTTTAGTAATAAATTAAGGATAATTTAGGTATTTTAAAATTAATATTTAATTATAATTAAAGATAAATATTTTGAATTTATAAAACGGATGCTAATACGAATGCATTTGGAGGAATATATGTTATACTAAATTTTAGATGGGTAAATATATTATTTTGAAATAATATAATAGAACGAGGGGCAGCATTATAAAAAATATAATATAATAAAAATATATATTTTTTATTATATATAATATAATATATATAGCATATACCTCCGTCAAATAGTAATATTACCTTCCATTATAATGTTAGGCATAATGATATGTGACAAATTGGAGCTCAAGTTGATGGCATGTTGAGGAATGTTTCTTGAGGTCTATCAAAACAAAAGACAAAATTGATGAGAGAATGTGCAGCTGCATTTTTTAGTTTTAGGCTTCCATTATTCAGCAGTGAATGCACAGCAGGATAATCACAAGGCATAATGAGAATTATAAGGAGATTATTGCTGATAAGTTGCAGTACCTTTTGCATTGAATGGGTAAATTTATGGAATAAGCCATTAGGATTGCCCAAGTAAAACTTTGATTGCCAATGTTATTTCATTGGAACAATTGTTTTGGCAGGTCCTTTAAACAACTCGTTCACAAATCATATTCCTTTTAATAAGATTTGCCAATTGTCACAACTGTTCTTTGCTTCTGGTAAGTGATCTATGGGAGCCAGAGGAGCTTTTGGGATACAAATCAGATTCAAGTTGGGTGTGGGGTGGGAGAAGGAAATCTATGTGATAAATGTCAATAAATATGCAAGATACAGTGAGGATCACTGATTAATGGCCTCTGATGCTTGTGGTGTTTCAGTTCATGTCTCATGGAATTCACCAACCCAGCAACCTTTTGGAAGCAACATGTCACCAAGATTTTCTTCAGAAATGAGTCACAGCAAATTCTATTTTTATAGTGAGTTGATCAGCTATATAGATGGATATATAGTTTATGAGAGCCTATCTTCAAAACATTTTCACCATTTCCTAAGATGGGGATCCTACTGCAACAAAGACACTGAAGCATCATATTCCTTTGAAAATTGTGTGTGTGTTTTTCAAGAATCAAATGACATTGAATAATAAGTCATGATTTGAATTATGGATATTATTTATGTAACATCTAAGCTTAGTCCCATATGAAGTACATGTAGGTAATAATTTGTGTTGATGTATATAGAATTTGATTCTGTCTATATTTTCTCTATAAAAACGTCAAACTCCTGATTAGCTTCATATTTAAGATGAATAATCATTTAAGTTAGTTTATAAAGACTTAATAAGTTTATTATCATCAACTTGCAGTCAAGTATTTTAGGTAATGTAGTTTTAGATTTAATAAATCAAATATTTTATTGAATCATATTATAAAAATATGTTCATGGATTTTATTTTGGAATGTATCAAAAATGCCTATTGGTACTGATACTGCTTCAGCCCTTCAGGAGGAGGAATGTTTGAAGATTGAGAAGCAATTTTATGTTGGTGGTGAATGCAATGTAAGTAAATGAACTGCAGATTCCGAGGTATGTGTCAGAAATGTCAGAATGGCTGATTGCTTTGGAGTTTGTAATGTCAAAGGAATTGCTGCAATTGACTTTTTGCTTTACAGAATTTTCTACTCTTTTGTTTTGTTGTGTTTTTATCTTCTTACTTCTTCTGTATGGTCTGAGTTCTTTTGTGCCTGAGCTCTTGTTTTGTTGCTGACCTGACCAAGTTTAGTTCAATGATTCTAAGTCTATTTAGTTGCATAAGCCCATCTCAAAACAAATCCTTTAAGATAAAGCCTGCTTAAGCCCAAAAACATATAAATTTATTATAAATATACAAATATAATAAGTTAATTTAAATGAATGATCGTTCGATAAAAAATAAAACTAAAATAAGAACAACCCAATACACGAAAGATCAGGTCAATATCGAAACAATAATGCTCTTATAATATTTATCATCGCATAAAGGCTTACTCTCGTGCCATTATGTAACTTTGCTAACAAGTTTGTAAGGCAAAAATAATATTTTATTAATAAGTAAGAAAATTCATTGTTGCATCTTATTATGTTCATGACATTTCAGAAAAATGATTATTTTTAACATATTTATTATGATATAATAATTTGGAGCCCTAAGTGACATGTGAAAAGTAGTTTGATGGAAATTTACATTAATATCTATCATCGTGAATCCCTTGTAAAGAACTCTCGTTATTATTTTTTTGTGTTATTATCTTGATGTTGTCGATTAGGAGTTGGCACGACTCGATCTTGACCCGGAGGCATAAAGTCATCTAGGTGACCCTCGTGGCGATTCAATAAGATAGTTGACACGGCGTCGAGGCATCCGAGATGGCTTAGAAGTGGCTTTAGGGGAGTCTCCGGCTACTTGAGGTGATCCTTAGACTAGGTTGAAGTGGGTTATGATCTTCTTGGGGATCTTGCACAAAGGTCAACATCGAGGGAATTTCAAAGCCTAACCCATTTGATGCTCAAATTAGTAGTATAGAGTTGTGTAGACATAGAGAATTTTCTGTGAGAGATGTCTGACCCCTAGGCAAGCGCTAAAGATTATTTTTTGTACTTGGGCAATTGAGGGGACCATCCATAATCGTTGCAATGCCCTCCTCTAGCGTTTTGCCCATGTGGCAATAGACTCGAATGACACTCTATAGACTATTATCCACGGAGGTTGATCGAGGGAGAGCAGATTTGAGCGGTCGCCTAGGGACCACTACCCATGATGGCTGACTAGATTGGCCCAAATAGCCTCCCATGGATTATTGTCCATGGAGGCCGATAGACCAGTATTCCTCCCATGTCGCTACCAAGTGGGCGAATGACTTGGCCTTTGTCCTCCATGTCAGCTCCTAGGCGGCGACCAATTAGTGGGTTATGATTGGTACTAAAATATTTTATATCATTTGTCCCTCCCCCCTGGAGGCATGCTTTGGGGTTCTTACAAAGGGGTTTGAGGCACATCGTTTAACCTGTACGTCGGTCAGGTCTCTTTTCACTAATCAAGTTTTCCAGATTAGATATCTCAGGTACAATAGGTTTGCGCTTCTACCATAACAAATATCTTGGCATGGGTCAAAATTTTTGACTCACACACCTCGGGCTCATTTGGCCTGATGACTATATTATAGTGGATATTAAGGTGTGGGTTAGATTTTCTGACACACTCGCCCCGAGCTCATTTGACTCAACGCCTCCACCGTTACAGATATGTTTGCATTAGTTGAATTTCCCGACCCACATCTTGGGAACATTTGGCCTAATGCCTTTGCCGTGATGAGTATCTTGACATGGGTCAATTTTCCTAACTCATATGTCTCGGGCACATTTGGCCCGATACCTTTGTTATGATAAATATATTGGTGTGGATCAGATTTTCCGACTCATGTCTTGGGCGCATTTGACTCGATATCTCCATCGGTGGATATATTGGCACGGGTTGGATTTCTCGACTCATGCTTCTCAAGCATATTTGGCCTGATGCCTTCATCGTGGTGGATATCTTTATGTGGGTCAATTTTTTTAACTCACACGTCTCAAGCACATTTAGCTCGATGCCTCTACCACGGCGCATTTCCTAGTGTTGGTTGGAATTTTTTGACTCATACACTTTGAGCACATTTGGCCCGATGCCTCTGCCATAGCGGATATGTTAGCATGGGTCAGATTACATGACTCACACATCTCGGGCTCATTTATCCTACTACCTCTGACATAACAAATATGTCGACCCGAGTTGGATTTTCTGACTCATATGCCTTGGACATATTTGACCCAATACCTCCACCATAGTGGATATGTTGGCGTGAGTTAGATTTCCTGACTCACATGCCTCGAATCATTTGGCCCATTACCTCTGCTATAGCAGATATATTAGCGTGGGTCAGATTTCCTGACTCATATGCCCCGGGCTCATTCGACCCACTACTTATGCCATAGTGGATATCCTAAGTTTCCACCGTGGTGGGCCTTTGTCCATTTTCTATCGCAGTGGATCTCGAGCT